GTTGCGCGTCATCCCATACATCACACTGTCCGAAATGGGTTCATGCGAAGAATAATGGCTTCCCGGTAGCGGTTGCTCTATATAAGACGAAACCGTCTGGAAAAGTACATAGCATTAACGCAATGAGTTCATTAGAGCTCTGGCTGGCACCTACACAGGTATATGGCATCGGGTTATATCCAGGAGGCTGTCTATAGCTGGGCGAAACCCTCACCGAATGGCTATTCACATAGACCTTATTATGGCTCCCATAGATATCATTGGCGTCGGTTGGTAGGTGATTATTGGGCGACAAGTGCCCATACTTCGGAGGCCCGTTCAGCACATTATTGCTTGGCGGCACTCGACCCTTATCCGGCTCGCTAAAGAACAACTTCTCGTAGTTTTCAATGAGGATTTCCACCACAATGTTGTAGAACTTTAGATCCATTATCGAGGCCACTGTTTCTTCTTCGGGGCGCAGCAGCGTGGGCCCGAAGCACACACCAAGATTACTCACGTTCATCAAGTTCTTATCGCTCTTGCTGACAACACTGAAAACGCACAATTGAAATTTGCCCTAAAGTGGAGCTAAAAAGCTTAAGGGCGTTTTGCAGTCGGCAATTTTATTGCCCGCAACTTTCCTGCGGCTATTTTCTTGCAGCTATATTTTTAGTACTACGCTTTAGTGTGCAATGTTAAACTTCACATTTAGACAAATCCATCAAGCGTACCAACTATTCACTATACGTAAAAAATCCAAAGTTTGTTTGTTTGCTTTGTTTTCGTTTCATTGACATAAGTGTGATTAACATAAGGTGTAGTTTATTTCGATGAAAAATGAAAATAAGCATCTAAAAAAGACTCTGAACCAACTCAACAGGAACATTAAAACTCTGATTCAACAATACCGACAAGACAAATGATTAGAAACATGTAAGGAAATAGAAAAAGACAAGGGCAAAACATATTGGCAAAAAATCAAGAAATTAGCACAATACAAGAAAACTAACACTACTGGCACAATTGACGAAAAGGGAATATAACGTTACACAGGCAAAGAGAGAGCTGACGCATTCGCCAGACACTATCAAAAGGCCTTCAGTATATCGACAAACCCTAAGTTCGACAATGACAACTGGAACATGATCAATGAGTGGTACTTGAACTACTTTAACAACTCACCAAACTATACTTACAAACTAATCACAGACGCAGAGTACGATGAATATCAAAAACACACAATCACATATCAAAAATACAGCTCCGGGAAAGGACAAAATAAAGGCAAAACTCCTGAAAAGCTTAACTCAAGAAACCCACAAACTCATCCTTTCTGAAATGAACAACTGCATCATAAATAACAAAATTCCGAAAACATGGAAAAGTGGTGTAGTAATTCCTATACCTAAAAATGGACGAGACAATACACAAATGGAAAACTACAGAACTCTCGGTGCTGAGCAAAGTTTTGGAACACATACTAAAGCAGAGACTTGAAGAACTGATCGGAAAACATATACCAACCTACCAATTTGGCTTTAAACAATATCACTCGACTATTCATCCGTTATTTATTTTGACCAACAACATACAAACAACTCACCTAATTGACGGAAAGTCGGCATGTCTACTCATGGACATCAACAAGGCTTTTGATAGTGTCTGGCATAGGGGCTTACTATAAAACTATACAAACTCCACACACCACCATATCTACTACATACCATCAAGAACTTATTAGAAAACAAACAACTACAAGTACGAATTGACAACACACTCTCCTTTTCTTTTTCCCCTGAACAAGGGCTCCCTCAAGGATCCCCGCTCTCACCCTTTCTCTACAGTATAT